TGGCCCCCGACCTCCAGGCCCCCGGGTCACCAGAACACCCGAGCTCTGACCTCCCTGGAAACCCACCGTGGCCTGGGGCTTTGCTGCCCCCGCGTCCAGTCCCCCACTGCTTTCAAGCACTCTTCCTAGTTTCCTCCCACAGCCTAGTATGTCCTCAAAAAATCATGTTTGACTAGTAACAAATACTTCCATAAATAAAAAACTTACCAATCAAGGTGTTGCTGTTTTAAAAACTATAGAAGTAATTACGTTGCTTACAGTGGTCTCAAAAGGGGCACCTACGCAACACCCACAGCTGACGCGTGTTTCATGGTGGAAGACTGACTGCCACCTCCAGCCACTACTGTGCAACCCTGGGTTGGCTCCTGCCCTCGAGCTAGCAGGGAAAAGAAAGAAAAGGCATCCAGGTTGGAAAGGAAGAAATAAACGGTCTGTCTTTGCAGAGGACGTGTCCTGCATGCAGTGTTCCCAAGATGCTGGCCCTGCCCCCTCACCCGGCTCTGTGCCCTGGCTCTGTCCTGGGGGAGCCGGGGTGTCGCTCCTGCACGGCCCCGGGGGGAGCTTTATGAAGGTTTCTCCTCATTGCTCCCCGTCTGGGGAAGGAAGACCTAACTCCTGAGGAAGGGGCAGACCCAGCAGCCTGGTGCAGTGGCGCCTCGGGGACCCGCGCTCAGACCCCAGCTCTGCACTCGCCAGCTTGGGGACTTAGACAACAGTGACGACCACAAGGGGCTGCTCTGGGGACCGAGTGTTACTTTGTGTAAACTCTGTTAGTGCCTGGAGTGTACGAAGCACCCTGTACGTGCTTGTCTGTATGTGGTGGGTGAGCAGAGGAATCCAGAGTTCGTGGGCTCGGTGTGCTGTCCACGCCTGAAACAGACCCCTCTGGAGTCTAAGTAGACCAGCCTTTTGGCAGATCTGAAGCTATTTCAAACAGCATCAAAACTAATGTCTCAGAGCACATGATAGTTTGTAGAAAAGTCAGTGTCTCCTTATTTGGGAAGTACTTCATGCCCGGTGGGACCTGGGTGGACCCTTGCCACTATTTACAGTGTCTTTCTTTTGGATCAGTATTCATCAGGCATTCGTGTCAGATGATTACCTAGTTTATCTCACTTAATTCCTCAAAGTATCCCGAGAAGGAAATGGTAGTGTTCTCCTGTTTGCT